GCTATGCGCCTTGCGTTGGTTTCGACAGTGGTATCAAGAAAGCCGACCGCCCAGGGGTAATGGCAAACTAGTGGACGTAAATTTGCCTGGAAAAACCACCTAACAGCTAATGGCTGTTGGGGTTGGTTCTGCAACGTCCTGTAAAGGATACGCAACTAACCTTATATATATATATATATATATATATATATATATATATATATATATATATATATATATATAGGTTTGTGTGTGTGGGTTAAAGCTAGACTGCAATATCTGCGCCTCATGGCCAACACTCCAGATTTCACCAACACATCTTATTAGTTTTCTTTTACGTCACGCTTGTTAGAAGGCAGTGGTTCTATCGCCCCCCCCCCCTCCCTCGCTTAAAAGGGACCCCAGAAGCCACCCGGGGAATGAAGAAGACAGAATGGCGATGGTTGAGTATGAAGTCAAAATTACCTTAATGAAGCAAATATTATGCTGGATGTTGTGGAAGATGACAATGGAGTAACTGCTGATGAAGGTTACAAGAAAGAAAAGGTGATGATGCAAACTGTGAAAATTCACATCAAAAAACATATAACATAAGGGTAGTCATTTGAAGACTGTAATCATTGTGTTAATGAGAATCATAACGAGACAACAAAGAGAATGGATCAACGAAACCTGCGAATCCTCACCAAAGAACACAGCACGCGATCTCTGGCTAAGTACCTTGGTGTCACGAAAACATGTCAAACAGATTACTCAGGCTCACAATAGAAGAGAAAATAAATAAATAAACATACATCTCAAGGCCCCCACAGCAAACGAAGACAGAACACAAAAAATAAGGACGCGGAATCTCGCTTCCTACCACGGGGTTTTCTCTATCTCGGCAAGATTCCTCCCCAGGGGAATGCCCCCTGGTTTCTGCATGGGAATGTGTGAACGCTCTGTTCTCATCACTCTGCCCCCCTTGAGCTGCATCGTACCTCCGCTGGGACCGCACCTGATTGGGTAATCAGGCTGACAAGTGGATGCAAGTCTTACATCTTAGTTCACACCGTGTTAATCGGTTTTATGTATTGTACATGCGGCGGCTGTAAATGTCACTAGTTGTTTGGCTCCTCCCCTTTTGGCGGGATCTTTCATATCTACGTTTTTGTGAGCACCTGTCGAATTTTTAGGTTGAGATTCTAGGGAACCTCTAAAACTAGAAGTGGGATACTATTGTTAATGCACCCCGTGTGGGTTCTGGGGCCCTCTTATAGGGAAAACAAGAATAAACCCACTGCCTACCCAAAAGCATGTCGTAAGAGTCGACTAATTGTCGGAGTGCATCTGCCTGAGAGGCAAGGAACCAACAGTCTGCACACAAATGTTTCAGAACTGTCAAACGGATGCACATGCAAAACCCCAGGTTTTGGACCAGGACTGCAGTCCATAAGTGGACGAACAACTTAAACTTTCCACTAGAGTTTAGAGCTGGTGAACGCAAACATGTATGCTAGAAGAAGTATAGTCAATGCTTCTGGACATCAATGCATTGATTTAGATTACAATGGCTGTGGGCAGGGCAGGATTTAGTCTTGATCACGCCCTAAGCTTTATAAAGCTCTGAAGCCCCTATTGCTTTAAATTACACCAGCTAATTTAATAAAACTTAAAAATATATACACCTTTTAAATGTAGGGATCCCCGTGTGGGTTTCGGTGCCCTATTATAAGGGAAAACAAGAAAAGACCTGTCCCGCAAGCATGTCGTAGAAGTTGACTAACTGGGGACTTCCTTCGAAGTCGGAGTGCAACTGCCCGAGAGGCAAGGAACAACCAACTACACACAAATAAGTCAGTAAAACGGATTTACACGCGAAACTCAGGCCCTGGCACAAAGCAAAAGTCCAAATGGACCAACAACCAAGACTTTCCGCTGGAGCCTACAGCCGGTAAACAACGAAAGAAAGAAAGAAATATATGGACGATAGAATATACTGTCGTTTAATTTTTAGAAAAAAAAAATAATAAAGAATGTGTCTGCAAAATCACATAATTTAAAAAAAAAAAAAAAAAAAAAAACCATCTTCTTAAAGGCTCAAATAAAGTAAAATTACATTTGTGAGCAATGAAATAGTAACTTGTTGAGGCCACTGCAGATTATGAGGCCCTAAGCTGCAGCTTAGTTAGCTTATGTCTAAATCCAGCACTGGTTGTGGACAGTGTCGTCTAAGCAGCATTTGTGGCATTGCCGGAGCTGACAGAGCACTGGGCCCTACTTACCTACACGTTCAATTCTGGTCTCTGCAGTAGCTAGCCGCTTACGCTATAGCTTGACGGTTTACGGTTCAAATCCATATTTGTGTACATATTTCATGTTGACCAGGTCTAAAAGAGGCGCCATAAATTTCCTGGGAAGTAAAGGCGAATTCGGTGGTATTGTCCTTATGTCCCATCGAGAGCCATTTGGTTTACAGGGTATAACAAGAAAGGTCTAGCACTGTTACGTTAATCTGGCAGTGATATTGACTGCACCAGCCACAAGGTGCCAATTGGTGTGCAAAAAAAGTATGCGTCCAGCACAATATTCCGATTGAACTATGGTGTGAAAATGGTCAGGGCGCCGACACAAAGAAAACAGTGGAGGGGAGATCAGTTAATTGAAAATTGTCTGTGGAAGGAAAGGAGACGCAAAGGGCCGGCCCAATCCTTGACAAAATAGTAATAATGTGCCGAATGACACACATATATTATGTTTTGTCGGGTGGGATGGGGTGGGGTGGGGGCGCATAAAGTACCTCAGCTCCCAGCAAGGCCCGATTAAAACCCTCTAATGCTGTAAGCACTTAAACGATTTTTGCGCCCCCACCCCAGCACTTCAAAGATCCACCACACCTCCCCCCCCCCCCCCCCGAGCCTGCTAAACAGCCTTATAGGGCCCCTGGGCAAACTAATTTGGTTGGGTCCATACAACAACTACTCACAGGAATGAAATGGAAATGGTCACTTTGTTTTTTGTACACTTCCACTATATTTATATATATATTTTTTTAAATTGCAAATTCTTTGATCAGATGCTGACGCTAACCTTATGTTACACATCTGCTCCTGCACTCAACAGAGATTATGTGTCTAGTTTTCCTTGCTGCGTTGTTCTGATGGGATTTTCTTTTTTAAATATTGTTCAACCGATAAAATGACCGCTCAGCTCCAAGACAATGGTGTGATGCTGACCACATCACCCATCTTGTGCTGATTGGTTTATAAAAATATAGGTCCAGCCCTATATGCCCTATACGCCTAAAGGCGTAGAAAAGGGTCCTTTACTTTTACCAAGGCAATTGAAAAATGTATGTGCTATTTCCTCCCTTTATGATGCTCTTAGCACGTGCTTGGTGCGCTTATAGTTAATCCGGCTCTGCCTTCCTCTCCCTCCCACATATTTAGGAACCCCTGAAAAGGGTCCTTTACTATATGCCCAAAGCACCTAAGACAAGAAAGGACCTCTGTCGGTGTACAATAAGTTGAGGCTACACGTTGGGGCCTGTAAAATACATGCCGATATTCACCTGCTACATTGATCTGTTTGGGAACAGTAACTCGCCTGTAACAACGAAACAACGAGCATGACATCATCTCTACAGAGCGAGCATGCACACAACCGTCCCAGGAGACTTGTCTTGTTCGCAAACTCGTTTTGCTTCTCTCTCTAGCATCCATTTTTTTTTCTCCACAAGCTGCTTTCATCAATTTTTCATGGCCGTTCGTTAGATTGAACTAAAACCCGGGAGTTGCGATGCTGTCACAAACAGACGATCAGACAGACGTGTGAAAGAATCGCTACTTTTAGCTTGAAAATCCTGGAGACGATTTGGCGCTCGGATTAGCGTAGCTAAGTTGACAAATGGCTTGTATATAAGAAATATGACGAAGGTTAGTTGAGTATCCTTTACAGGACGTTGCAGAACCAACCCCAGCAGCCCCCGGCTGTTGTGCGGTTTCTCTAGGCAAATTTACTTCCAGTAGTTATATGACGAAGACTGGTGCGAAAATAGACAACATGGCGCAAACACGGGAGGCCAAGAATCAGGGAACCATACCTCCAGGACGCCGAGGGTTCGTCAGAAAGACAACATCCGACAGTCCCTAACGTATGGAATGGATGTGTTAAAGATAACTGCCGATTACAAAGTAAAGGACCCTTTTCCATGCCTTCAAGCGAATTGGGCATATAGGGCTAGACCTATACTTCATAGCCAAACGCTACTTGGCGGGGTGATGATGTGATCAGCATCCCGCCGGTTGCCTTTACTTCCTATGCATTGACATGGTACAAATTCTAGACATTGGAGCCGGTAATTTTTGGAAAAGTCCACACCGATCGAATTTAAATTGACCACATTTAGATCTACATCATGGCGGCTCCCAGCTTCGGATTATCACACATGTCTAGTTATTTCATACTTTCAAGGCAGTGATTAGTAATACTCTTCTTCGATGTTTTACTTTTAAAAGAAGACTGCTTTAATGTCAGTAAGAATTTTTCCGATATTTAATATTATATTTCAGGATTCAGTTTCTGGTTATTTTATACGTTGACCGAAACGTTCAGGTGTGCGCCCCCCCCCCCTTCCCCGATCAACTCTCCGCCCCGCGACTGGAGCCACTTCATTGTTGTCATTCGTGGTCATAGACTGTTATAGTAGGTTCATGTCTTGACATCAGCACGGCTGTAGACAGCAGTATTTTCCGCATTTGTGCGGAAATGACAGCAGCTAGCCGCATACTTACAATACTGAGACAGTCGTGGGCAAGTGGTATGTGGTAGAGGAGAACGGTTAAAAAAAAAAGAATATTAGGGGTAGAAAAAAAAAGCTAGACACAAAAATACACATCACACAGAGGGAGGGGCGAGAGAGAGAGAGAGAGAGAGAGAGAGAGAGAGAGAGAGAGAGAGAGAGAGAGAGAGAGAGAGAGAGAAGAAGAAGAAGAAGAAGAACACGATAACTGGATATAACTGCATGCATGTTGTTAGCTCACCTGTCAATTATTACAGGATCGGAAGGAGTCTCGTTACGATTGCCACAGCTTTTCTTTTCGCAACACCGGCTGTAGGGAGAGAAAACTACCAGTCAGACATTGGTTGGAAGGAGCAAGCAACAAGTTTTGTTAGTGTTCTTAACACATTGGACAAAACAGTAAATAACAACTTCTGTGAGTGTAATCTATACTTTGTTTTTCCCATAGAAAGAATAATAAATTGTACGTTGCCATCTACTCTCTCTCTCTCTCTCTCTCTCTCTCTCTCTCTCTCTCTCTCTCTCTCTCTCTCTCTCTCTCTCTCTCTCTCTCTCTCACTCTCTCTCCTTTCTCTGTTTTTGTTGACAGAGAATGGCATGTTTAGTCAGTGCTTGTGTCGTCGACATATTTTTTGTTGTTTACAGAGAAAAGATGGTGATGTCAGTGTCCTGAATGTTGTCAGTGTTCTGAATGTTGTCAGTGTTCTGAATGTTGTCAGTGTTCTGAATGTTGTCAGTGTTCTGAATGTTGTCAGTGTTCTGAATGTTGTCAGTGTTCTGAATGTTGTCAGTGTTCTGAATGTTGTAAGTGTTCTGAATGTTGTCAGTGTTCTGAATGTTGTCAGTGTTCTGAATGTTGTCAGTGTTCTTAATGACGTCAGTGTTCTGAATGTTGTCAGTGTTCTGAATGTTGTCAGTGTTCTTAATGACGTCGGTGTTCTGAACATGTTTTTCAAGCGTAAATTAAATCCAAGCCCAACTGTAGGGCGGAAAGATCTATATATATATATTACTACAACAACAACAACTACTACTACTACTACTACTACTACTACTACTACTACTACTACTACTACTACTACTACTACTACTACTACTACTACTACTACTACTACTACTACTACTACTACTACTACTACTACTACGACTACTACTACTATTGCTGCTGCTGCTGCTGCTACTGCTACTACTACTGCTGCTGCTGCTGCTGCTACTGCTGCTACTGCTTCTGCCACTGCTGCTACTGCTATTATTACCACTGCTACTGCTGCTGACACTAATATTATTGTACTGTTATAATGGTACTGTTATATCTATAACAACAACAGCAACTACATCAACATCTACTGCTGCTGCTACAACAACAACTACTAACAATGAGTTCACTAAGAGTACCTGCACATAATTTCATGTGTAAGCAGGACTCGACACATCTCTGGGTTTTTGTCCTGCCCTTCATAGACAATGGCCTGTAAGACACAAGAAGGTACACATTCCTATCGATGCAACGATACTGGTTGTAACGGAGTTGGCCATAACCAATAATAATAATAAAAATATTATTAATAATAATAATAATGATAATGATGCTGACGATGATGATAATAATAATAATAATAATAATATTAATAATAATAATAATAATGCTTGTTGCTTGTAAACTAACAAATTAAAAAAAAAATGGATGACTGTGATGGTGGTGACTGTGGAAATGTTAATGACAAACTTCCAGGTAATCGGGTCTTTTATCAACTAATAAGGATGATCCTGGAAGAAAAACATCTACTGGCAATGAACGCAATGAAGAACGGTTGAAAGTAATAGGCTGTGAAGTGACATGACAACTTCAACTCACGACTTGGGCGTTGATAATGATGATGATGATGATAATGATGATTAAGGCGATGACAAAGTGATGATGGGGAGGATGATGATGAGGATGGTGATGAAAATAATGAGGGGATGGTGATGATGATGATGATGAGTATAGCGATGATGATGAGGAGGAGGAGGGGATGATGATGATGATGTTGAGGATGATGATGATAATAATGAAAATGGCGATCACGACAATGATTATGATGAGAATGATTATAATAAGGAATGTGGCGATGACAATGATGACGACGATGATGATGAGGATTGTGATGATGATGATGATGATGATGATGACGATGATGAGGTAGATGATGATGATGACGATGATGATAATGACCATAAAAAGGATTATGTGAATTACTGGCAATTAATTAAGGGAAAAGATAATGGTGGTAGTGGTGATAGTGGTGGCGATGGTGATAGTGGTGGTAGTGGTAGTGGCGGTGGTAATAGTGGTCATGGTAATAGTTGTCGTGCTAATAGTGGTGGTGATGATAGTGGTGCTGGTAATAACGGTGATGATAATTATTATCGTTTGCTAAAACTTTTTTGTCATTTAATTTACGACCAGACTGGGCATGCAGTAGGTTATTTATTTGTATTTACATGTCGATTGTTGATTGTTGAATGTTGAATTAAGAATCGACATCACAGCTCTCGGGACACTCCAATAAGTGCTCAGTCCCTATCTTCAGCAGCAAGCGAAGAGTTCCAATCCCGATGGTACCATAAACCGTCGGATTGTAAATCCGTCTCATCCTTCCCCTGAGTGTTGAGCGTAAGTCAGATCCCCTGGTAACTCCTCGCAGCGCCATTCTCCTTAGACCGTAAGGATCAGTCTGCGCTTTCACACTGTTCACTCGTTCCCAGCGGGAATTTTTATATACACATAATAAAGCAGGTGTCACAGTCATGGAAATAAAACCATGATATATTTCTATAGACGATAGAGAACAAGGCGTCAATGATGAACAGTCGAAAAGCTCATTTGAAATACCTGCTTAGTGACGGAGTCGATAAGTCGTATGTACATGTCTTGTTCTTGTCTGATTCCTGGAATGATATATGTTATATCGGCATTAACAATGTGAACTATAATTGACATGTAGACAACATACAGCTCCGGAGTCGGGTTCTATGGGTGAGGAGTTGCGAACTCGCTTCGGAATGCCAAGATGAAGGGGTTCGATCCTAGCTGCAAGCGTTTTGGCAGCAGAATATCTTGCGATGGTTTCAACATTGACAACGAAAGCTGACCGTTGAGGTAGCAATAGCACACTTCTTCTTCTTCTGCCTTTCTATTCCCCTATGGAGCATAGGCCCACAACTAACTCACGCCAAGTCGTTTTATCCTTCGCTATTGCATGGAGCTGTCCGTTTTTCTAACTTCATTCTCTAGCTCTCTTCTCCATGTGTTTATTTATTTATTTATTTTTTTTTGGCCTTTCTTTATTCCTATGCCCCTGTGGGTTCCAATGCAAAGACTTCCATTGTTCTCCCTGTATCATAGAGAGTTATAACATTCCAGGTGCCAATTCTAGAGGTTTTCCTAGCTGAGAGGAGGTATGTCAACGATCCAGACTCCTTACGGCTTTCTCCACACCGTGTCACACTTCTTCTATTTGAAGAGCCTCCCCTCATCTTGGTTGGCTGGATTTTACTTGCTTTTTTTTTTTTTTTTTTTCACTTATTCATGGTTGGTTGGTTTTTGTGGCTATGGTTTTTACAGGATGAGGTAGCCAACCTCAAGCTCAACCCTACCCTTAGTCGCCTGTTACGACATGTAGGGTTCAGTATCACTATTCTTTGCTTCCTGTGAGGGCCCCGGTGACACGCGGGCGAATAGCAAACTACTGAACGTAAAATGTGCCTAGAAAATCCACAGCAGCCAAACGAATGCTAGGGTTTGTTCTGCAACGTCCTCTAAAGGTTACGCAACTAGCTTAACAGCGCCCGGACGGTTAAGAAGGATGAGCTCTCATGCGAAAGACCCACGTTCGAATCCTCGGTAAAGATGTGAATTGTTTTTGCTGGGGGCAAAAATAGAATCCTAACCTGCACATTTAGTGGCGACAGCATTAGTCCTGTGACGCTAACTCCCAATTCCCAAAGACCCCTCTGCCTACACAGCAACAGTAATATAATATGTGTTGTTGTTGTTGTTGTTATTGTTGTTGTTGCTGTTCAACCCTACCAGGACCGTACAATACCATATAAAACAAAGTGCCACCATTCGGATGAGGATCACCCGGGCACAAGTCCCAAATACACAGTTCAACCCATAGGTTAGTTGCGTATCCTTTACAGGACGTTGCAGAACCAACCCCTGTGTGGTTTTTCTAGGCAAATTTACGTCAGCAGTTTGCCGTTGCCCTCTGGACGGTCGGCTTTCCTGATACCACTGTCGAAACCAACGCAAGGCGCATGGCCCAACTGCTAAGGGTGTTTTTTTTTTAACGGGCGCAGCAATACACATGGGCGTCCGAGCTTGCTACCCAGAGACCAGGGGAAATTACTCAAAGTCCACGTGACAAAAATTCTAGCCTTCATAAGTATAGATCTAACCCTACAATAGGTGTTAGTGAAATCATTTAGCAATACAATCCACGCCGTTTACCATGGTTCGATTCCCAGAAAGAAAAAAAACCGATTTGGTGGCTCTCAGACACTGGGACAAGTGTAATACTGTAGAAGATACTGGGAACTCATCAAGTAACACGTCCATAGTAATCAGTGGCTACAATGTGCAGCCAACCTTCACTGCGGAGACGGCACATATTTAATGGAGATTCGAACACACGACTATAGGACAGGTAAGACTGGGCTGCCTAGCTCCCTAACATGTCTGTATGCTCCGGAGTAAAGCGTTTCTTGATTAACTTCTACATTGTCCTGAGTACGAGAGTTGCCACTCTCTTTGATTCAGCAATACCACGTTCCGGCCACTGTGGCAGCAGATTGTGGGGCTAGTCGAGGGACCTTCAGACAATAAGAACATGTCAAATCCATTAGGTTATTTGGAACGACCTCACGGATGAAGTGGGCGTGAATGGATAGCTGACCCTGCCTGGGGCAGAGAACCCTTGCTAGTTACCGTCCAGAAACGATAGCCACTTGTCATTGTTCACTTTTAAGTCAGTCATTTGTTGTATTTATTTATAATAAATTTTTTTTGCATCAAAAACCCAACATAGGTAAACTAAAGAGCTCGTTTTCACGCCTTCGGGCCCATTTACGAAATTAATCCCGTTCTGTACGAACTCGAACCCGTAACCTTCGGATCCGCGGGTGAACGTCTACAACTCAACATTCACTTGTACCATGGCTAATTATAATGTAGTGGGCTCCCTAGGCTTTTGTTTACAGACGTCTTTCCTTGCCGGACTTACACCGTATTCTTCAGCATGAGCTGTGCCTAAGCTGCTAGACATATGTTTTTTTTTTTTAGGTAGGATGATAGGATCTACCTACATCACGCCGGCCGCCTTTACTTCCGTAACATTTCTTTTACCTATTGGTAGGCTGAATCTAGGTCAAGATTAAATTAGTCTTGATGAGTAGTCGATTATAAAACGTACAAATACGTAGAAACAGATTTGAAATGCTTAGCCACACTAAGGAAATTGGAATTGTGTGTGTGTGTGTGACAACTTTAACTGGCGCATCGTATGCTAGGAGATAATATTCTTTATGTTCTACTCAACAACTGAATACTCGGCATCCATATGCAAAAACTCAAGTTCTTGAACAAGACTAAAGTCCAGAAGTGGACGAACAATCAGAACTTTCCGCTAGAGTTACCAGCCGTTGAACGTAGAAGAAGAAGAAGATCACTCGGCAAAGTTGAGTGAGCAAGATGGTGGCCTGATAATGTGGAACACCCGGTGCTCAACACATATCAGTGTCAGCACGCCTGACTATTGGCCTCGTTTCTAGTGAAAGCCGTTGCACAACTTATGAATTATCAATGAGCCCAACTGGCAGGGCAGAGGTGGCTGGAAGCTGTTTCTAGCGACAGGTTTACTGAGCTAGAACATGTGTCACTGACTCGGGTTCGTTGTATAAACAAAGGGGGAAGCCCTTGAGGCTGTAGAAACATCTTTACTATAAATCATAAACCCTTTATGTGTTTCTGTGTTTCCTGTGTTTATTATAAATGAAATGTTAACTTCTCCCAAATCGTGATCAATACCTAGGTTACATTTGTGTTTACCATTATGACTACAACGTTTAATTTAACAGCCAGATTGGCGGCCTAGGTCAATTTGCATTTCTTTATTTATTGCGACAATTAGTAAAAGTAAACATTTTGCTGGAGTTATATCCCTTTCAATATTTTTAATTTTTCTTCTGTTGAAAACTTTATTTTAAACAGTAATATTTCGATGCTATCTTCATTGGAACCATGTTTCTAAATGTGTTTGAGACCATACATTTTTCTGCCTCACAAATTATTAGTTTCACATGGGGAGGCCTCGGGTGCACTTTCTGGGAATTACTACAGATACGGCAGCGGTAGAGACAAAGATGAAGTCGAAGACGGGATATTCAATACAGTGTTTTAGTTAGATGCCTATTTCCACTTGGCTTACATATAGGGCAGCGATGGAAACCAACATGAGGAAGAGGACGTGAGAAAAAAAAACTTTCTTTCCCTATCCCTGGCGAACCGGGCAATTAAGTCTAGTTATAGAAAATACACATATAGATAATGTATTGATTGACATATAGGACACAATTCGGTGTATGATGTTGAAAACAGCAGATAATTAAGGAATGGACACAACGCAAACCCGTTAGTCAGTTCACATACAATAGTTTACATACAGCAATATTTACAAACACATCAACAGTAGTTTACATATAGCAATCTTCACAAACATATCAACTAATAGTTTACGTACAGCAATCTACGTAAACAAATCAACAATAATTCATGCATAGCAATCTACCCAAACATATCACTAATAGTTCCCGTAACAACAATCTTCACAAATACTTCACTTACCGTTTGCATATAGTAGCTGCACGCGATAGTGAATGCCGTTGTTTGTTTTCTGAGTGTCGCCATCCTGATGGGAAAATAATAAAGAGTTTATTTAACAGTGAAGCTTCTTTCGAAGTAATAGTGTATCTGCCCGAGTGGCATAGAACCAACAGTCTACATACAAATATGCCAGAATAATAAAACGGATATACACGCCAAAACTTAAGATCTGAAAGAAGATCAAAGCCCAGAAGTGGGCCTTCCCACCGGAGTTTACAGCCGGTGAACACTAAGCAGAAGAAGAAGAAGATAAGGGGAACGGGGGAGAAGGCAGAGGATAAAGGAGAAGAAAAAGAAGACGAGGAGGAAGGAGAAAACGAAGAAGAAGAAGAAGAAGAAGAAGAAGAAGAAGAAGAAGAAGAAGAAGAAGAAGAAGAAGAAGAAGAAGAAGAAGAAGAAGAAGAAGAAGAAGAAGAAGAAGAAGAAGAAGAAGAAGAAGAAGAAGAAGAAGAAGAAGAAGAAGAAGAAGAAGAAGAAGAAGAAGAAGAAGAAGAAGAAGAAGAAGAAGAAGAAGAAGAAGAAGATGATGATGATGAAAAAGAAGAAGAAGATTGTCATCAGTATATGCTCAATACTCCTTCAAACTCGAATTTTCTATTCGCTTTGCAAGGGCAAACATTATTATTACCATCAAACGGTTTAGATAGAACGTCGCTCCTATAAAGGCTAGCTGAAAAGAGCCTCGGTTCCTTGCCACTTCTCTAGCATCACATGTTTTTATGCTCATCGTGTCTTCAATGTCATATGCCCACTTTCGTGATAGTCGACCCATGCCTTTCATTCCAAGCACCATGGTTTTATTATTCGTTCCAAACTTCTGCAGTGATAAAACTGCCCAAATATTTCCGTTTCCAATGCATGTTTTTCACTGCTCCGATCTGACAGATGCTATTATTTTTTTTTTGTGTGCATCCTCATAGATGTGAGAGTCAGTAGAAACTAGCAAATTACTCATCCGATAAAACAAACACTATATTAGTAGTTCTCCACCTTCTCAGCGCCGCGACCCTTTAATACAGTTCCCAGTGTTGTGGCGACCACTAACCATACAATTACTTTCCTTGCTATTCCATTATTTCAGGGAAGATGTGTTTGCCGGTGGTCTTATGCGATCCCTGTGAAAGGGTCGTTCGACCCACAAAAGGGTCGCGACCCATAGGCTGAGAACCGCTGCACTAAATCATTACCGTCTTAACAAAAAAAATACGAGTCTGACGTTTCCTTTCACAAGACTAATGATGTTATCATCATCATCCTCTCATTATCATCAGCGTCATCATTATTGGTGCCAGTAAGTACATACTTCGCCCTCTCACAGGACCTCCAGAATCAAAATTTTATGACCACCAAAATAGTGGTAACGGTTTCTATACTGGCAAGTCCGTGGATGTGCTTATATGCTACATTGCAAGTTTTCCTTCAAAACTAGGGCACCAAAACATAAAAATCTACCACCAATTTGATGCAGACGACAAAAAAGCATACAGACCACCCCTTGCAGGCGTCTGCCTCCCAATCCCACAGAGCAATCTAACAAATGACGTGACTTATGTCGCTAAGTATTGCCGCCACGCCAGCTCACACACAATGTAGCCAGCGCCGATCGATACCTTGCTGGTATTGATCTCAAGAGGTGATTAAATTACTGTAACACATTTATCTAATCACAAGCATCGATTACTTGTTTTATGTGTCGGCTGTTTAGCATCGAAAGTGCCTGCAGCTCTTTAACGCGTCCCAGCGGACAAAATAGCATGATTTCCCCCATAGACATGCTCGTACGAATTCTGCCTTTCTGTCGCTCGTTGTTTCGCTTTGTTTCATCACCTAATTTCCATTCACAGGATGGGAGCTCCCAGACTCCGTTTCAAGTGGAAATTGTGCATACATATCAGGCTGAAAACTGCAGTTTGGGGATGTAGGCTTGCCGTTTGGGAGGATACTTACCTACCCCTCCGTTATGGTTTAATCTGGGTAAAAGCGCGGGAGGAAGAATTAGATTCTGGTACATTCCAGGGTTAAGTGAATCAAATTCAGTTGGCGCTTTTACTTTGTTTATAGATTGGACAAATAAACAGCTAATTGTTGCCGTATTGATCTGTAGCTAAGCTGCCTGTTATCACAAGTGTTCATCAAAGCTGTTCTGTTTATAAAGATGTCTCCATAACATAACGGTGTGTTTTAGTCTGTTGCTTTACGACAGCTTGAATGTTGGAGTGTTAATGTTATTGTTTTGTTGATGCTATTATAGTGGTGGTGTTGATGGTAGCGGAGGCGGTAGTAAAGGAGGAGGATCTTGTGATGGTTGTGATCGTGGTGGTGATGATGGTGGCGGTGATAGTGTGGTCGTGGTGATAATGATGGTAGTGGTGGTGGTGATGGTCGTGGTGTCGATTATGGTGGCGGTGGTGGTTGTGGTGGGTGTCGTGGTGGTGACGATGATGGCGGTGATGGTGGTGGTCGTGGTGATGATGGTGGCGGTGATGGTGGTGATCGTGGTGATGATGGTGGTGGAGGGGGTGGTGGTCGTGGTGATGATGGTGGCGGTGATGGTGGTGATGATGGTAGGGGTGATGGTGGTGGTCGTGGTGTGATAATGGCGGTGATGGTGGTGCATGGTGATGATGATGGTGGTGGTGGTGGTCGTGGTGTTAATGATGGTGGCGGTGATGGTGGTGGTGGTGATGATGATGGTGGGGGTAATGGTCGTGGTCCTGGTGACGATGATGGTGGCGGTGATGGTGGTGGTCTTGGTGTTGATAATGGTGGCGGTGTTGGTAATGGTCGTGGTGATGATGAGGGTGTCGATGATGATGGTGGTGGTGGTGTTGATGATGGTGGCGGTGAATTTGGTCGTGGTGGTGATGATGGTGGCGGTGATGGTGGTAGTCGTTGTGGTGTTGATGATGATGGTCGTTGAATCGGTAGTGAAGGAGGAGGATCTGGTAACGGTGGTGATCGTTTTGGTAATTGTGGTAGTTGTGGTGGTGGTGCTGGCGATAGAAGTGGTAATGGTCGTGGTGGAAGTAGCGGAGGAGGATGTGATGATGGCGAGTGCTGTGATTGTTGGTCTATACCAGCAGTCAACCCCGGAGGAAAGGCTTTGATGTCCGTCTATATCTAGACATTGGTCACGCTGCATGAAGGGAACGCAAGCAGGTGGTAAGAAGATTCTTTGCTGGGGAAGAGGGGGGGGGGGGGGGGGGGGGGAAGCGCTCGTGGTTTTCAACCAACATCCCTGAAGCTTTAGGTCATAACTGTAACTAGGCTATGTGCGCCATTTAAATCGCACAGCATTGCACGCCACCAAAAGCCCTGAAAGGACTGCAGTGTGGATACGATCAAAGGAGACGGACCCAAGTACTGTCCCGACCGGCGACAAAGTCGTCTACCGGCGAGCAATTGGAGACCCATTCGCTGATGTGCATGCAGGCTAATCTTTTCAGAGCTGTCTTACTTAAAACAGACCCAGTGATCCTCCCCTCTCTTGATACTTCGAAGGAATCCTGTCTTTGTTGATTGATTTCTATGAAAGAGATCCATCGGATCATCCCCCCCCCCCAACCACTACTACCACCCCCACCCCCCCCCCCCGATTCAGCTACTGCCACCACACCTTCTACCTCCTCCCCATCCAAACTACGTAGCTGAAATGCCTCAAGACACGTGAAGGGGTTCTTTATTTTTTAAATTTTACATTTGAAGAGTCAATTACAAGACTTACCGTGATCTGCTCCTTCTCTACGAAGTCGACAAACGTGGTCCTCTCGACTTCCACAGGCTGCCCCTGGCGGTCGTACAAGGCCAGCACGAAGTGGAAAAAGTTGCTTTTCCTCAAGTTGCTGGGCGGCTGCTTCTCGAAGTGCGCCCGACTGAGACCAATACTGGGTGGACAACAAGAAGTCAATGCTTAATACAACACATTTTGAGAACACTGACATTCTGAGACTGGTATAAATTCAGAAGAACTTAGAGGCTGTGTTTTTGTGGTATCTGTTTATTTATGTGATTATATGGATAACTGACTGAACTGACTTTTTACCTACCCCACCAGGACATCACACAAGCGATAAACACCCGATGACACAAAGTGCCACCATGTGGATGAGGATAACCGGAGAGGTCCCGGAAATCAAGTTCAGCCATTAGACCATATTTATGGCCGGGCTATATTGCGGCCTTATGGCAAGATCCAGGGTAGGGCTTCCCAAAAAAATTTTTTTTTTAAATCCCACAAAGAGATTACTTGTATGCTAATTAATTAATGTGTGGATAACTGTACAGAGTGTCTGACAACTACTGCCTGGAAATGGCTAATGAAATGAGGAAACTACATACGACAAAAAGACAGAGGCAGTCAGTGTTCTTGGGTCATGTGACGAGAAGAGAGCTATCTGGGAACAATGAGATTAATGGTAGAAGATGTGGAGGCAGACTATGAGAGGCGATGCTTAATGGCCTGTAGCGATGGCAGGGAGGAATATCATCAGAAGAACTGATTTAAAATACCAAGGACCGAGATTTGTGCAGAGACATAAGCGCCTACGCCGCTGGGCAGAGCGCATGATGATATTGGTACGCATTCTGAGAAAATATTTGGAGGCTACCACCGACGTAGCATTTTTACGCCAGTGGCGATTAGGGATGTCGCTTTTACTTCCCACTGCATTAAAGGGTAAACATTTTAGGCATGGTCGACCTGTAAGCTAAGATTAGTTTCGGAAAAAAAAAAACTTTTATCTGGATGATATTTGAAGCTAAGAACTTCTTGTGGCTGTCATCGTCTAGCCGCTACTCAACCGCGGCTCCCTGTTGTAGATCCTTCAGTATCAAATCCCTCAACCGGTTGCCATTAGCAACCCCAAGAATAATAAACATCCGCTTCAAAGACCGACAACTAGATCTGACATTTCAAGTAGATAAAAGGGAGTTAACTGGTAGGATGATTTATCGCTTGACCTATTCTCTGGAGATAATGACAAAGATGAGGTACGGCCACGGCTTGCTGGCAATATTTCATGGTGGACATGTTATACACAACTTATGATAAAAGATGTATCTTGACCTAGACAGCAGACAGGGAGAAGCCAGAAGTAAACATAATCCCAGACAGTGCAATGGTGCTGAGGAATACTTGGAGTTGTTCGCGGATTGGACCACGGCCCACTATAGCTTTGTATAAGGCCATCCAAGTCAATGGAAATTCCCTTTTTTGTGCGACTCCAAGGGGCCGGTGTGTGTTAACTATGTTTATCGAGTAGATTTATACACAAATTAAACTACAGTTTCATTAATTTCCAACAAGTTTTTTTTAAAATTAATTATCATTATGAAGATAAATTAGTGTACTATATATTATTGTTTTCATTATTATTATTATTATTATATTTTATAATAGCACACTAACTTGTCTTCAAAATAATAATTAACTAAAAAAAAAAACGTGTTGCAAATTATTGGAAAATGTAGTTTAATGTGTGTATAAGTCTACTCGATAAACATAGGAAACACACACCGGCCACTCGGAGTTGCACCTCAACGGGAATTTCCATTGACCTGGATGGCCTTATAAAAAGCTATACTATAGTGGGCCGAATTGGATATACGTTGGTGACTTTAGATAAAAGTATCTGTCATGAACAACCTACCCTCACTGAAATACTGGTTACTTGATGATTGTTTTGTATAGTGCCCCAGTGTAACCGTGCTGTACGGTTGTATGGTTGAAAGTAGTTTTTGTGATTTGCAAAAGCAAATGTGGAGGGGACATACTAAAAATGACGTAAAAGTAAAGAACCTTTATTCACACCTTCATTCGTATTAGGTATTTAGGGCGATATCTATATTTGTATAGACCAACCGGCACTTAATGCGCGATGTGGACAGCATCACACCTGCCGCCTTTACTTCCCGTGACTTTGACCTGGTACACATTTAAGCCTAGGTCGACCTAGAAGGGGCCATTTTTGAAAAACACACCCAGCCCCGTTAGAATTTGAACTCACGACCTTTGGATCAGGCTTGAGTCAGAAGTAAAACGGGTGATCTTCACCCAAATAGTGGCACTTTGTGTCACCGGGTGTTTATCGCTCGATGTGATGTTCTGTTGGGGTAAAACGTCAATAAGTTACTTTATGGAGTCACGGTCTGTGATAATAAGGTTACTCAATTTACTTCACAATGTTACCACCAGGAATTCATTCAGTTAGGTAACTTCATTGCATATCACTTCATGCATCGACTGTTGGGTAACTGTCACTTATAAATGCGCGTGAGTTCATGACCCCAAAAGTATAAATATAGAATCAGCTTATCAGAAAATGCAACTTCACTATCAGAGTGGTCGCATTACAGTTCCTCCCTTCCTGTGCCAAAGAAAACCACACAGAATGTCTGTCGTTGTTTTCTTAAAAATAAAACAACTTGACACGCACCGCAGTCTTAGAAATTTGAACAGCATCCGCGTTCATTAAATGCATAAGGCAGCCGTCAGACGTGCCAACACAAAAAGTCCAATGCTATAAATGCAGTTCACCGTCGATGGAAGCAGCTCTTACAATATATCAGTTAGTTGCATACACAATCAGTCGCATAAGGCACCACAAATTCTCTGGCTACAGGCCACTCGCCATTTTCTGAATCTGCAGTCCCCAACCCAAACCACATTGGACACAATGAACATGAAATGCAAACACACGACACACATATGCTCTACTTACTTGGCCACAGCCGGATCCACCACAGTGGGTTGCATCCAGTTCCGTATACTGGACAGTTGACCGCTGAGAGCCTCCTCCTTCATTGGAGACGGTGAGATGGGCAGCGGGTACTGCTGAAGATGATGAAACGGGTGCGCGTGTTGCGGGTGGCGAGGATGATGGCTATGCTCCTCTGGAAGGTCAAACATGAAAGTGACCCGGAACGAGTCAGGCAAAGGCGAACAGGATACACCGTCAAAAACGTGGAGGGAAAACCGGTGATATCCCGTGCGCTTAACAGTGTGGCAAGTCAGTCGTTGGCTAACACTGTTGAAAACTCTGCATTTCCAACGTTTAGTTTATCGACAGAAACAGCTCAAAGCCATAATTGTTTGATGACTGTAGTGCTAGAACAAGTTGCAGTGATGATTAAACGGCACTGGTTGAATCAGTGAGTTTGAGAACATAAAGATGCTAAATTGTTTCTTTTGAATTATTTATGCCTTTCACTTAGAGCAACAAACAAATCACCGGTGAATTGAACTCTGTAATGACGGGGGGAAGACACACTTCTCGATTAAAGCTCATTAAAAAAAAACATAACAATCGAATGTACATTTTTATTTTAAGTTATAGTCAGCCTAAGTTATATTCAAACTGTCATCATTTGGACAGGTTCGCTTTTTGGGTCTGAATATATTGGATGTGACAGTATATTTGTTGTTTATAATGCTAACACAAGGCGGTCATTGTTTACTCCGTGTATTTGTATTCTACCTAATCTTCACGTACTTCGTCGTGTTGTTGTTCTTGCTGTTATTGTTGTTGCTCTTCCTCTTCTTTCTCATCATCATCATCATCACCTTCTTCTTCTTCTTCTTCTTCTACTTCTTCTTCTTCTTCTTCTTCTTCTTCTTCTTCTTCTTCTTCTTCTTCTTCTTCTTCTTCTTCTTCTTCTTCTTCTTCTTCTTCTTCTTCTTCTTCTTCTTCTTCTTCTTCTTCTTCTTCTTCTTCTTCTTCTTCTTCTTCTTCTTCTTCTTCTTCTTCTTCTTCTTCTTCTTCTTCTTCTTCTTCTTCTTCTTCTTCTTCTTCTTCTTCTTCTTCTTCTTCTTCTTCTTCTTCTTCTTCTTCTTCTTCTTCTTCTTCTTCTTCTTCTTCTTCTTCTTCTTCTTCTTCTTCTTCTTCTTCTTCTACTTCTTCTTCATCTTAATCTCTTTTTCGTCTTCTTTTTACTCTACTTTTTCTTCGTCTCCCAAAAAAAGCATAAGTACTTAACCAACACAGGCAGTTCTATCCTTTGAAGTCTCCTTGAACTCCTTCACTGTCCTTTCTATATTAATTATCTCTTTTTCTAATTCTCTTTTCCATGTGGCTCTAGATCTCTCAGTTTTTACTCTTTCTGTTGCCCTGTATATTATATACCAGAGGAATAACTTTATATATATATATATATATATATATATATATATATATATATATATATATATATATATATATATATATATATATATATATAATTAGCGGATTGTTCTCATTTCTCGTCCTATTCATCGCAAACGACTTTTTCCTCACCTTTTCGTACACCCCTGTTTGTATACCAGTTAAACTGCGGATATCTGTGATTATGAAAACCACACACTAAATGGACCAGAGCAGCTAATGGTACAATCAATTGCAATGAATAACTGGTTGACTCAGCCGAATAAACACCCAAACGAAAAGAGTGCATGAATTTACAACTAAGTTTACAGAAGAAAAATACATCCAGGCTATACTTACTAAGCGATGTCAAGGAAAATTGAAACTTCGCTAGAACGGATTCTTCACTAAACCAGTTTGAACCGTTTAGTAATAAATTAAAACAAATCGCCTGGCAATTTGCAAGCAAGAAGTAAATGGAGCGCTGAAAGATTTCTGCGGCTGAGTTTATTATTTCAGCTGAAATGTGCTGGAAAAGGAATAATAATGACAGCCGCTGGAACCAAAATTAATGGGTGTGATGTGTGTATAATTCCCGTTTAATATTTTTGTATGTCTTCTCCAACACTTCAAAAAACAATAGGAATATTTTCCGATACATATAGCATTAGTAGTATAGTTGATTTTGTTATTGTTGTTGTTGTAATACAAATAGTAGTAGCAATAGAAGTAGTAGTAGCAACAGCAGCAGTAGTAGTTGTAGTGGTATGAGTAGTAATCGCAAAAGAAGACGTAGTCTTGTTAATACAGGTAGTAGTAGTGTTGGTGGTGGTGGTAGTGGTAGCAAAATAAGAAGATAAAATAGTAGTAGTAGCAGCAGCAGTCGTAGCGGCAACAGCAGTAGTAATAGTAGTATCAGAACTAGTAGTAGTAGTAGTAGCAGCAGCAGCAGAAACAACCGTATTGGGGGGGAGGGTGGGGGGAGTGTTGTTGTTGTGCAAATATTTCATTATCTGTGTCATAACAAAGAATTTGCCTATTGCTAATTAAACAAATGCACAATTCCAGCGACCGAGGTGACGCTTCATTATCTTAGATGGGGGTTCCCATTTGCTAGAGTTATTCTCAATATCTTGATCTTTCACTCGTGGATTGTATACTCAATGATTATGAGTTCTCATCAAATGTGTGGCATTGGCTCGTTCGCTACGACCTATCAGATAAACAAACCGTTCTGAAATGGCAGCCTATGACGTATGCACGGGGGATGGTCCTAGTATCAGTGGCTATCCCATCAAATAGAAAACTATAACTTCAAACTTATTAACCAGTAATAAAGTAGTGAATGAAATAAGGGAGTGAAAAAGAAGAAGAAGAAAAAAACTTGGCCAATTGTGGGTTACGGGGCCTCACTGTTGTGGGTGGAGGTAGCGGGAAATGGAGGGGTGTGGGGGTGGGGGGGGGGGGAATAGATCCACTACTCCCTAATGTGCATGTCGTAAGAGTCGACCAACTAGGGGGGGGGGGGGGGGTGTCGAAGTCGGAGTACATCTGCCTCACAAGGAACAAGCAGTCTGCGTACAAATAAGCAAGATCTGGGCATGACAATTCCAGTTCTGGAACAAGATTACAGTCCAGAAATAGACAAACAAACAAAACTTTCCGCCGGAGTTTTCAAGCCGGTCAATGATAGGAAAAAGAAAAAGAAGACAACTCATCCAAATAAATATTTCTGAATTTAAATGTTTTTACTTATAATTCTGTTCAAATTCAAATTCAAGTTGTCTGTGCCTGATTGTTTTTGCTCTATTCTATTCTATTCTTTCTTTTCTAGATGGATATTTGAAGCCCTACTCTGGCTCGTGCCACGGGCCGCAATATAGCCGGCCATAAATATGGCCTAATGGCTGAACGCCGTTTCTGGGACCTCTCCACGGTGATCCTCACCCGCATGGTGGCGCATTGTGTCATCGGGTGTTTATCGCTTGTGTGATGTCCTGGTGGGGTAGAAAGAAAGTCAGTCAGTCTTCTCTAGCACTCAGCAGCTCATTTGACTGAAGATTTTGTCAAAACTCAATTCTCCATTGCTTTATTGTTTCTTTCAAACTACTAAAGTGAAACTGCATTCTATTCTATTCTATTCTATTCTATTCTATTCTATTCTATTCTATTCTATTCTATTCTATTCTATTCTATTCTATTCTATTCTATTCTATTCTATTCTATTCTATTCTATTCTATTCTATTCTATTCTCAACAGATTATTGAGGAGAATTAGCGAAGCAACCAAACACGTTTTCTCCACAAATCACACACCCTACAAGAACACACGAGCATAGCGTCCTACAGAAAATTTCCAAATCCTATTGCTAGAAAACGGTTACATTTAACCAAACACCATAGTCTACAATAAATCACCCACTCGTTTGGATGTTTCGCATCTTGTCCAGCTCTGAGCATAGCTAGAACCCCTAGCGTTCGATCCCATTTCTCAAGTTTGTAATTCCCCAGTGGCTTACGTGCGTGGCTATTGATCGACGCCTGAAGGTACCAGGTAATGACCTTTGTAACTCTATTGGTTTTCTCAGGTACTCCCATTCACCTCTCAAAATCGTTATGAGGCAGAGTGTTGTACAACTATTTTAAATGCCGCTCCTCTGGGTGATGAGCTACTGTATGATACAGCGGACGCGATGAAGGTTCTATAGGATCAAATGGAGATTGAAATGGAGCGGACAGATAATCCATGTACTGACAGATTAATTAAAGATTGGGTGAACAGAGGTTTTTTGGAGATATTCAACACTGAGAGGGAAACAGATGCGGACTTTTAACCAGGTTGCAACTTGTACTGTTACCATGTAGACTTTTCGTTGGCTACTGCGAAAGAAGACGGAGCACGTGTGGGAATGTCCCGAGTGCAAGGATGTCAGTTCTTGTTTCATTTATTCATACGAACGTTAGGGATTGAAGTGTTAGATCTTCACATAGGTTAGGGGACCTCATATCTAGTTTAGTGGATAGTTCCCTTCTTCGTTTACCTTCCCTCCCAAACAACTCCCAGAAAATTATGGCAATTATTTTATATCTAACTGGGGTTTTTCTTCTTCTTCTTCGGTTCACTGACTGTATATTCCGGCGGAAAGTTCTGGCTGTTTGTAGAGTTCAGGAATGTTCTGGTTGTTGTGTCCAGTTCTGGGCTTTGGTTTTCTTCCACAATATGAGTGTTGCGTGTACATCCGTTTTACAGATCTGATATATATATATATATATATATATATATATATATATATATATATATATATATATATTTATATATATATATATATATATATACATATATACATATATACACACACACACACATATATATATATTTACACATATACACACTGTTGATTCCTTGCCTCTCGGCCTGGTGTACTCTAACTTCGAAGGACACACCTCTAATTAGACGAAAGGCTTGTTAGGGAGCTGTGGGCATTCCCCCCCCCCCCCCTTTTTCCACCCAAGAAATGAAGTGGTTTTTAAAAAAATATAATTGGTTGGTCTAAAGGCGCAGATGTCGCAGTCTAACTGTAAACCACAACGCAACGTACCAATCACCCTTTTAATGGCGAACGAAGACAAATCTGTTTAACACCAGTTTTTTTGAGTCTCGGTAAAGGCTTTACAATGTAACAACAGGGCAGCTTGGTTTTACAGCTCGATGATCCACTCTACGACGGGAGATAAAAGATGGCAGAAAGGGGATCTTTCTCAGGGACTGAAATCGACAATATACTCTCGT